ACACACACACACACGCACGCACGCACACACGCACACACACACACACAAACACACACACACACACACACATGTAATCGTGTGTTGGTGATGATTCTCTCTGTCAGTTCTATCAGGAGGAGTTGGGTCGTGAGAGGCTCCGTGTGCAGCAGGAGATGCAGGTATGTGTGTTTCTGTGCGGTTCTTCACTCGTCTCCAGCACGGATCAAACTCACCAGGCCTTCAGGAGCATTACAGGTGGCTGAGTTTGATCCGGTCTGGAGCTGAGCTCTGCTGGTCGAGCAAGAGGCGATCTTAGGGTGACCTCCTGGCTATAGATCTGTAGCGGGACAGTAGATGTGATTTTGCTGGACACATGTGATACATTTCCTACTGTTATGCTATGTAAATACTGATTTACACAGGGCTGCCAACTCTCACACATTTAACAATTGACACTTTTCTCACGCTCTCACGCCACACATCCGTTTTCTCACGCAGTGAAAAGCACCCTCAGTTAAAACTGGAATAGTAGGATATTGTTTTTTAAATTTAAACTGGAATAATAGGATAAATTGTAAATCAGTGTGGTGAAATACACAAACAGAAGCTGAAGTATTGAGCAGGTCTGAGATCAGCTGTTTTCGGGGAGAGTCAGAATCATATAATTTAGTGATGTGACATGTGGCCAAGTATGGCGACCCATACTTGGAATTAGTGCTCTGCATTTATCCCATCCAAAGTGCACACACACACAGCAGTGAACACACACACACCGTGAACACACACCCGGAGCAGTGGGCAGCCATTTATGCTGCGGCGCCCGGGGAGCAGTTGGGGGTTCGGTGCCTTGCTCAAGGGCATCTCAGTCGTGGTATTGAAGGTGGGAGAGAGCGCTGTACATTCAGCACCCCACCTACAATCCCTGCCGGTACGAGACTCGAACTCGCAACCTTTGGGTTACGAGTCCGACTCTCTAACCATTAGGCCACGACTTCCCCAAATGCGATAATGTGATAATTTAATCAAATAAAGAAACAGTCAAATGATCTTCTCTGTTGCAGTTTTAATCAAACAGCAGATGAAGTTGTTGGAGGGTCAGATCATCTCAAATGGTCCAAAACCTGTTCAGCTGGTTGTTCATTTTCCTCATGTTTTTGAGTGATCATATCTGTGCATGAGTATTGCAAAACTACCAGTTTTATTATGTTATTTGGTTTAACCACTGCGGCCATGTTTGTGTCATGAGGCACAACACATTTTATGTTATACGGATGTTCATGTAAATCTAAATATCTCTGGCTCTCATTTTGGACACATTTTTCTCACTGGATTGACACTGCCTGTGCTTTGTCTCATGAATCAGTGTGCGATTATTTTAAATATGTGAAATTACAGCATTGTTTGGAAAAATCTTTGATGTCTTCTGTAACCATCTGGACAGTCTTTGGAAATCACAATCATTGTTCCTGTGGTGGTAACGAGACAGGTGCACTATGGGATTAATATCTTCAAATACAAATAGGTCTGGATATTGAATGCTGTTTTTGGCTCTGTTTGTCCTGACATAATGTGTTTTAACTCAGATCACAGCAGCAAACACACAATTACATATTGTCACAAACAAACCATACACTCCCTCCTCAGAGAATCAGACATCAGGTTTTCATGTGGTCTGTCTCTCAGATACACGAGCAAACAGGGAGACTTCAGATGTGGTCAGTATTGTGTGTGCGATGAACCGATGTTTTGTTCCTCAAATAGATCAGGATCACCACAGTCTAAATGTGTGTTTGCATAAACAACAACTGCAGCAGAACAAAAGCACACAATCACACAAGAGCACAGAAATACAAGATCAGAGCGACTGGAACCTGTTGAGCGAGAATGAAACCCTCAGGGTGAAAACACACACACTCTCACACACACACACACACACACTCACACTCACACACACACACACACACACTCACACTCACACTCACA